GTGCCAGACTGCCTCAACCCATTGTTACCCTTCATTAGCCTCTCTACCCCACTCCCCCTTCTCTCTATACTTCAGCACCTCAGTCTTGAGTTTCTGTCTTCTCACACTTGCTGTATCTTCCCGTTCGGTTCTCACTGTTACACAATTTCAATGGCTGTTATTCACTAGTTCTTTTTATAGAACTTGTCTCTTTTTTTTCCCTCCCTATTAAACATATGTCCTCTCTTAGTCTCCTGTCCCTACACTCCCTTCTCCTCTCTCACCCCATCCCGGCCCCTCTGTCCTAATCCTAGAGCCTCATGTCGCTGTAGAGGGCTAAGCCTGAGCTTATGCAGCAAGTCTCATTATTTTCTGTCATTAATGAAAAAATCTCAACTTCTTCCAGACAAGTACTTTCCCAACTTGTATCTTTGAACTCCGTTTAAAATGTAAAAGGATTTAGTCTGCTTTTTTTTTTTTTTTTTTTTTAAAGCATTAATCACTCACCACCTTTACAGGGTTTCTATACTTGTATGTTCACTGAATGATCTCAATAACCACTGACTGATTTTTCTTTGTAGGTAATGTTCACAGGAGAGAATATACCTGTCCACCCACATGTGTATAGCAATGGTCACATCTGTCTATCTATTCTAACGGAAGATTGGTCGCCAGCGCTCTCAGTGCAATCAGTTTGTCTTAGCATTATCAGCATGTTGTCCAGCTGCAAAGAAAAGGTAACTCTGCACTGTGCCAAGAATAAATAACAGTAGCTGATGTAAATGATTCCCTTTTTTAAATGTTAAATCTAAATGCTTTTTTGCTTTTTCTGCAGAGACGACCGCCTGATAACTCCTTTTATGTAAGAACATGTAACAAAAATCCAAAGAAAACAAAATGGTGGTATCATGGTGAGTATTTTCAATCTTAAGCTGTTTTCTTTCCTTTTTTTTTTTGGTTAGGGTATATAATTAATGCTTTTAATTGTAATTATGATGTAATTTAAATATATTTCGTTTGCCTTCACAGATGATACATGCTAATGTACAAACTTTGTAATAACCGTAGAAGAAAGAAGTCCTACTGACCTACGTAAAGCACTTTTTAATCATTCAGTCTTTGAACTCTGACCTTTGACTGGAACAATGGACACCATGCGCTGGAGGCTCTCGACTGCATTTCCCCCCTGCGGTGCAGTTGGCTGCATGTTTTAGTCGGTTGTAAAATAGAAAACGAATTAAAAGGAGCGTTTAGATGCACCCAAGACGGACCGATTTTTGGCAAAAAAGATCGTACTGCAGCGAGCACGAAAGGTGGATTTGTAGTGAGATAATTATAATTCCTGTTTTCAGATTATTATTGTTACTTTTTCGTTTGTGTGTGGGTGCATTTTAAGGTCCTTGTGTTGTGCAATAATAACTGATGGATGCATGCTTGGGCCTACAAAGAGAAATCCAAATCTAATCGTCTTCTGGAAGGGATCTGACCATCAACACCCCAAGAAAATGCTTCATCTGTTTGTTTATTGTTATTATTATTATTATTATTATTATTATATGCACTGTGAAAGTATCTAGTTTAAAAAGGCACTATTAGTACGTTATTCCAGACTTGCAGATGTACTGTAAGTAGTCCTCCACTTGTCAGGTTTAAAGGTTTTAGTTTTTAACCACTGTATCAAGAGTACACGCAGTTTTCTTCATCTTCCGAGGCGAAACCCGGGTTGCAGTTCTTCCTGCCGTTGGACAGAATGTCAGTACAGATGGGAATAAAAACAGATATGACGATAGAACTTGTAGTCATCCGATGACCTCAGTGTACATCTCCTCGTAACGCTGGGCCGAACTCGTGTAGTGTTCACTAGTCCAGCCTTTAGGATGTGCAGCGGCCTCTCTTCCATTTAAAGAATGTCTGCAAGAGAACGTTGTCGCATGATCCATTTTTATTTGTATGATACCGTTTTGTTTTTTAATTTCATGCTTTAATCTTCTAAAATGTTTGATTTTAAATGTCTTTTTTTGTACTTTTTTTTTTCTTTTTGACTAGCTGATGCTTTGAAAAGGGGGGTTGTTTTGATGGGTCAGTACGTTTTTTTTGATTTTCTTTTTTTTTTTTGTATTTGTTATTTAATTTAAATCTTTGTTTGATCTCCAGAACGGCAATGAATGACAAGGCTTTTGTGATTCCCCCTGGTCAGAGTTTTGGCTCAGGTACTTTTTTCAATAAAGAGATCACCTCTAAAAAGATACCTATCAGATATTTTGAATTTAACTATATTTTCACCAAAAGAGACTGTTATGTTGTAAACGTATAACACGTCTGAAACTATTGTATATATAAGTCTTTAAATTGTTGGATGATGTGAAAGAACTTAGCAGAGGATGCATTTACTTTATAGCAGAATGATAATAGGAGTGCTTTATTTCATTGGAAGTTAGTCTGCATCTTTTGCTAGTTAGGATGTGTACAGTCAGCTACAAACATGTAAGTTGGTAAGAAAAAAAAAAAAGAAGTAGTTTTACAGTGGGGGTGCATGCAATTTTAAACCCTACTTTTTCTTATTGGCATCAAACATTGTGGCAACTTTTAGTCTTTCCATACCTTAGGTAATGTTTTATGGGATGGATCTTACAAAGCTCACCTCCAGAGGCTGTGGTCATTTTAGACTGTAATCACTCCATCCCTAAAGAAATGTTTATCGCCATCCAGTCAGAGATACTTGAATTTTCCATCTTGGGTTGTTTGTATTTACTTTTTTTTTTTTTTCCCAGGGTCTAGCTGAGTTTCTTGAATGAACTTGAGTGAATGTGATGATACTCTATACTGTAGAGGAGATTACCACAGCACACCGCTATCTCAAAACAACAACAACAACAAAAAAATACTATATTGATAACTTAAAGACATCTATTTAACCAATGATTTTATTTTTTTTTAGCTTCTTTGCAATGGGTCTAGTTAGCTGTCGCTGTGCTCGGAGGAAAAGACAGTAGGACTGAAATGCTTGTGTAAATGCAGTCACAACAGCATCCGTGCAGAGACAAAAGGCCTTCATCCAATGGGCAGTAGATCAGAGGAGATTTGAAAAAACTTGAGTGACTATGTTACAAGGGTTTGGATGTGATGTTTTTCTTTTTCTTTTTTTTCTTAGGTTGCTTTTTTTTTTTTTTTTTTTCCTTTTCAATGTGGTTTGAACTCTTAGCTTGCAGGTTGTTGTGAGTGATCAACACTAATGAGGGTGTGTTATTTATATTTGAAATTTTGTTCTGGGATGTGCAAGCTCCATGTAATAGGTGCCTGTTCATTTTCATAATCAATAATAAAAGCAAAGATTCACTTTTATTCAACCTTGGTTTGCATAGTATGTGAATATGCGTTTTTCTGTGTCTGTTCTGGATCCTGTAAAAGCCTTTTTATGTATTGTTTTCTTTCAAAAGGGATACACAATACTGACAAACTCAGAAAGAAAGTGCATGCCTGAATGTGACTCATTGGGTCAGTGGGTTTTATCAGATATTTCAAACGTAAGGAATTCAGTCTGTCTACAAATGGTGAAGGACACGGCTTGTGCGCTTGTTTGTGGGATTGTCCTGTGTTTGCCAGAAGTATCCACAAATATGCATGTGGATAAAAACTGTGAAACATGAAACTGAGATAATCTTGCAGAAATAGTGGACAAGCTTACATGTGATGCTCATTTAGTCGGATGTAATGAGCAGTATGTGACATCAACCAGGTGAAATTACATCTTTTGTCGAATTTTAAGAAATGATTATTAAAATTTGACACAGATGCTCTAGAGTTAAACTTTATTCAGCTCACTGTAGGTCCTGTGTTTATTTGAAAAAGGAAATTGTGCTATATATGTTTGAGAAAAAATATCTGAACCTAACTTGGTTCTATAGGTTTTGTAGATGCTAAAATTATTTATTCAAGCAAATACAAGTCCAGTTTGTGCCCTTTATAATGCCAGATGTTTTACTGTGTTCTCATTTAATGATTAGTCCCTGGGTTTTATTATGCACAGTAGTACAAAGTTTTCTTTGTAAAGGAAAGCATTCTGTTCATGTCTTTCTGTGAAGGAGCCAACCAGGACTGCAAAAGTGGTGTAGTGGCACCCTCTATTGGCTGTAACACAACAGTACCTGTCAGATATCTGCAGGCTCTGTAGGTTCTGCATTACATGTGTATTTTAACCTGTAGGTCCTTATTCCCTATTATAGATAAAAGGTGTACACTGGACTTTATTTGCATCTGTGGGATCCCAGAATCATCGCTACCTGTCTTCTTTGCAAGAACACAACAGTCCCCACTGTGATTTCTGCACAAGGAACTTGGTGTTTCTGAATCCAGACCTTGTGGTCTTGTGGTTAGTGAGACACATCTGCTGCTCTTCCTTTGAATTCTCCTGTTGAAGGGCTCCTGAGCCAAAGCTGTAAACCCTCACAAGCAGCAGAAAGTACTCTTTTATGGGAGCTTATGTTCTCCCGACAAGAAAAAAAAAAAAGAAGCAAAATGACAGCCCACCTCTAAGTTGTAGAATTAACTGTATAATTAAACTCACTTGATGGAAAGGCTTCCCTGAGAACAAAATATGGACAGTAAAATTATATTTTCCAAGTTTTATACACTGATCTTCATATTAACTTTTAGCGATAATTATGCATAAAGTAAAAATAAGGTTGGAAAACCAAATTAACACCCAATGTAAGTCCCCTGTGCAGAAAACAAGTCTGAAAAGGTTAATTTTGCTGTTGAATCAAAAGTTACACTGTAAGCTCTGAGGAAGCAAACCAGGACCAAACCATTCCTGTCGCGGCGGGGGTGGCTGATTCATTCAGGATTCACCACAAACTCCGACGATCCACAGATAACGATTTGCAACATTTCGCACTGAAAAAAATGGACACAACACAAACTTTACACATGAAATATCACAATGGTTAGTCATTTGCTTCTAATGGGTAGTTTTTCCTTTTTTTTACCCAGAAAAATAACGTGGTCTGTTCCCTCTTCCATCCAGTTCTCTTTAGTGTTTGCCAATGTTGGAGGTGTAACTGGGGTCTGGCCCTGGACAAAGGTAAAAAATACCCTAAAATATTTGTCCCTTTGTCGTCGGATAGTCTCCGGGTTATTTGCCACGCTGTCGCCAGCCCGTGTATGATGTTGGGTGGGCTGAAATTCCCCCAGACTTTCGTGGAGGATGGGGCGGTATGGAGATGCTAGCAAGAGGGGTGCTCGGCCGATCAGCCATGATGAGCTTTAACCGGCTAAACTAGCGTAACTGGAGGCGGCTGGGTTGTATATGTTCATCAGGAGAAATCACAGCGGCATATCCATGACAGCATGCACGCTTGGCCATTCTGTTGGCGTGTTTTTAGCAGCTGACATTTGGAGGAAGCGCCGTTTTCTTGGTGGTAACGTTAGCTTCCTTGCTAAAGCTGGACACAGTCGAGGCTGTAATGTAGGTTCAGGGGTTGCAGACAGCCCTGTAGCTCTGTCAGTCAACCCTAACGTTACAGCAACCTCCATATTCAAGTTGCTGCGAAAGACGAGCATGCACCGAGGTTGCTGTTTTGCTGTGCAATTCGTGCACGCTAGTGCAAGACAGTAAAGGAAAGAGGGTTTGTGACCCCGAGAACCTCACGAGCACGCAAGATGCATGGACAGGGAAAAACTTGATTGCATGCACTGGGTAAAGGTCACACACCAGAGTAAAAATGCATTTGATCTGGTGCACGTTGTCGATATCGGGTGTGATATAGCAATGCAAACCGCTCTGTTTACTGTGCAGCCTCGTCTCTGGGCTGTATGGACAGGTGGCAGCTGTAATCATGATTGCAGGGTGAAGCCCATGAAAACAGTTGGGATCTAAAAGCTGTCTTTATGGCCTGTGTAATATCTACAGCCCTGTTGTGTTTGATATTATCTAATGAGATAGACTCAGATTTCTGACAGCGTTATCAATCACCAGTGTGCCAGATTCAAAACTGGCATTTCATCAAGTGTCCAAGGGCAAGACAGTAAATTTCTCTCCACTCCAGGGGTTCAGTTCTGTGTCCAACCTTTTGCTCTGACCTCTGTGGGGACGTGGAAATAAATTTCCCTCATTTCCCCCGTCAGTGCTTGATGTAAACCAGTCTTGGGGCCGTTTTTTGGTAGATGTGGTTTGTCTCTTTTTAATTGAGTTTTTGCAGTTATCTACGTCTTCATCTTCTGTTGATGAAAAACACTGGTTAGCATATTATGTTACTTGTATGAAATAGCCACAGGCACCAACTGTGTGACCATAATATTGCACACATGCCTTCAAAGCTAAAGTAATCAAATATGTGTTTTGCTGACTCTCACTGCATTGTTGTGCCCACTCTACTGTCAATGCTAACCTCTGTCTGCTGGATGTACGCCCATGTACCTCTCTTTAGTCCCAAACAAAATCTGATTGAACATCCATTGTCTTGTTCGGGCCACTATCACAGGATTCCTCCTTTTTCCGGAGAGTTTGGCAGCAGTAACATGAGCAAAGCTCCTTCAAATAAAGGTTCATTGTCTGGGTGTATTAGCTGCTTGTGGATCAGAATGTGAGATAGCCGAGGGCTGCTCAGTTCGAAGTCTGTTCTCTAGGCTTAGCCCGCAGAAGTCTGTCAAATGACAGTAAAGAGCTTTAAATTGTGCAAAAAGTAGAGTGTATTTATCTGTGCATGCAAATGTAGACTCGTGCACGAATGCTTAATGGTGTCTGTACAGTATAATGTGCACTTCATTAGTGATTGACTTTTCTATTCTCATCTGTTTACAGTCTATACAATGGAGAGTGTGTCTAATGGAGTTACAAGTTATTACATGTGGCCTTGTTTCAGGAATAGAGCATGGCTCAAGTGAAAGTACAGACCTCAGCGCCCCTGGCTGGTCCTGGCCTCTCCCCCGGAGTTCCCCCGACGGCCATGGCCAGCGCAGGATCTCTGGGTCTGCAGCCCTCCGTCAACGGCACAGGCCCGGCCCCCACACCCGCCTGCCCTGCTCCTGCAGTCGGATATGGGGACGCCCCTGTGTCTGCCTCACCGCCAGGTACAACACCAGCAGAACAGTTTCCCTTTGGGGGATATTAGTTATTATTTTGCATTACGAGTGGCCTTAATTATTATTCTGTTAATTTCTGTGATTTCCAACAAATGATGGACTCGTCTTATTTCTTCATCAGCTTTTATTTGGAATTGTTGCTGGTCATATGAGGGAGATGCAGTGTTTCAGTGTTGTTAGCACTTGTGTTGTATATCTAAGTAATACTGATATTGATTCAAGCCCTAAGGAAAAATTTATGTAGACAACCTGCCTCAACATTGTAGTAGTACCACTGTGTGTACTATTTATTATTCTATAGTAAAAAGGTCGCCCTAAAATAGCCAATTAACTGGCTGACATAAATCCCTCCAGATCCTGCTCTCTTCACTGCTTATTGAATCTCATAACCTAACCTAAATTCAAAAGGATCTCTGCACAAATGCTTGCTACATGATATTGTGACCCTATTATACACTTAATTTCTTACTAATTTTATTACTAACTCACTGCACTGTAAGCCACATTTTTATGTCTCAATCATTAGACAGCAAGATGCCTCCCCTGAGGTGCTGCACATCTGCTGAATGGAAAAAGAGCTTAAATACTCTCATACAAATCAAATGAAATTTTTCACTTTTGCGTATGACTTAATTGGATATAAAAGTTGTGTTATGCTGCATTTCTTACATGTAACAGCTGCACAGGCTGCTTGCTTTAATAAATGAATAACTCGTGCCCTTTCACTCATTAAAATGATATAATTCAATATTAAAACATGATGATTATTCATGCATACATGTCTGTCTCTCATGTCTTTACCATATTGCTCATATATCATGTTTTGCTGTGCTCTGTCTTAGGCCCGCCCCAGGAGAACATGGCAAACCCTAAAGAGAAAACTCCAATGTGTTTGGTGAATGAGTTAGCCCGTTTCAACAGGATCCAACCACAGTACAAGCTCCTCAATGAGAGAGGTCCTGCACATGCTAAGGTAAGGAGCTGGGACATGACAGTCATCTGTATGTGTGCAGAAGAAAAAATCTTTTTCGGAATCAGAGTTCAGGTGTTGACATGAAGTAATACGATGTAAATATCAGGAGAAATCCTCATCTTAGTGGTTTTTTGGTTGTTCAGTTTCATGCTTGTTCTTGCTACATACATGTATGATGAAGTATATGATTCTGACTTTTTAATTTATTTTTTTTTTTTGTACATTTTTATTGGTCATGCTGATTACATCCTCCTGCCATATGGGCTCTTGAGGAATGATGGTAAAAAAAAATAAATAAATAAAATGCAGACGCTGTTGGGTAACGTCTTCCCCTCTGGGTGTCACTGTTCCAGATCTTCACAGTGCAGCTGACTCTTGGGGAGCAGGTGTGGGAGGCAGAGGGCACCAGCATTAAAAAGGCCCAGCACTCCACAGCTGCCAAGGCACTGGCTGAGAGCGTCCTTCCCAGGCCAGCGCCCCGCTCCCCTAAAGTTGACGTCAACAGCAACCCAGGTATGGCAACCACAACAAAGTCTCATTATACTGTCAACAATGAATGCATACGAGAATGATTACCTTTAAATCCACTTGTTATGAAGTGATATGCCTGGAATACATTTATTTACACATGCATAGATTTATTTATTATTATTTTTTACAGTTTTAGCTGAGTAATATTGAATTGGAAAAAGCTGCAAAACAAACCGATGCTTGTTTTTCATCAGCATTAATGTCAACTCAGGAAAGGTTTTTTTTTTTTCCAACTGGAATATATCTAGTAAATGCACATAACCCTTTCTGCATGTACTTATCCATGTCAGATTAGTGTTTAATATTTTTAATGCTATGCTTCCACTAGCTGCACCTACAGAAAGCTAATTCTGGCTATAGCAGCCAGTCAGTGTAAGACCTGCTAGAAAAATAGGGGATTTATTTATTTATTTATTTTAAACCTTTGCATCTGTATTGCATTTAGCTCAGTTTTTACTTGTTTGTTGTGGCTTAAACCATTTTTTGAGAATGTCTGCAGTTTCTTTCTACATGCTTCTATCTGCAGTACTTTTTATCCTTAGCTAGAGTGCATGCATTTACACTTTCAATGAGTAACTCCTTGTGCTTTATGCCAGAAAACTGTAAAACTAACTCGTTGTTATTGGATTAGTGCCCACTACTGGTCATTTATTTCTGCAGCTAGGTGCAGTTTGGAAATATACAATGTTGAACTGCAGGGAGATGGAGAGAACTCACATGTTTTATCACAGAACAAGTTTTGCATTACATTCATGTGCACATGTGATTATAAAGTAGAGTGCTAAAGGAGAAGGGATGAGTTGTGACAAAGCATTATAATCCCTGCAACGCCTTTCTGTCCCCACTGTTAGTGGAATGTTTTGGTATTTTGGTTTTGTGTGTCAACAAGTAAGGCTTTCAGGTGTAGCCCTCGAACCACGAGTGCTATTTAAAAAAAAAAAATCAATAATCAGAACAAAGCCTGTACAGACCCTCTCAATTAATCCCAATGGTGAGCTTATGTTTTATCTCTGGCCGAATAGCCTGGTCTTACCTCTCCTGCCCTCTGTGGCGTTGTAGTAGTAAAAGACTTCAGTGCCAGCTCTTAATGAGATTAAGGAAGTCCTGTGATAGGTTATGTAACGTCAGTGGGGAACCTGTGGGATTAACGGTACATGAATCAGGCAGGTAAGGAGGCTTGACAATTTTGGGGTAGAAAGCAGGCATTCATGATTTAACATGGTGTCAGTTGCTGCTCCTGTGTGTGTTTTGTAAAATGTGATGCAATGTGTTTAGATTTCCTCAGAGATGACTTCAATGATTTTCAGAAAAAGGCTTTACTTGCTAATGTGACAAAACACAGCTTTATATGTTGTTTTTGCAAATCATTGTACGTCTATGTTTGCTCAAAACTTGTCATCGTCCTGGTTTTCATGTTTCTGTTCTTGCCTTTGCACACAGGCAGTATAACACCCACAGTGGAGCTCAATGGTCTGGCCATGAAGAGGGGCGAGCCAGCTATCTACAGGCCTTTGGATCCCAAGCCCATGCCCAACTACAGAGCTAATTACAACTTCAGAGGGATGTTTAACCAAAGGTGAGCACCTAAAACTGATCCTTATTTCTAAGCTTTGTGTTGAACCTGGCTTATTGTTTCACCCTGCTGAATGAGCTATGGTAATACTTGACAATGTAAAGGACTGTCCCGCCATAAAAAAAATAAAAAACTTTGTTTCCTTGACGGATTTGTCAAAGCAGTTTGTGTCCTAAGCTTTTGGACGATGGTGGATACAGCTAAAAATGCATTTTAGCTGTGTAATGGCTTGTCACCTCACAAACCATTTTAAGTTATTTTACTAACAACAGTGAGAAAAAGCGGTGGAGAAATTCACAATCAGCTGTCTTTTGGTTGGAAAAACCAACAGCATTTATCCTGGATGCGTGTCTTCTCTAGAGTTTCCCTTTAAACTGTCGCACAGCCTAAGACGATGGGATTTACTCGCTGATTATTTTGCAGCGGCTTTATTTTCCCAATCCACAGTAACATGAGAGACTACTGTTTCGAAAATTCTTGCCTTTGCATAAAGCTTGTTTTTGGTAGTTAAGAAACAGAGGCTGAGTTCAGGATGGCAGATAACTAATACGCAGGGGGACGAATGATCTTCAACCAGCTTAGCGTGGACGTAGTCTTGATATATTTTGGATGACCTCAAACAGCATTGTTTCTTTGATCCCACTGGCTCAGATGTGTGTCAGACATGGCTTTCCACTCCATATGTTTTCGAAACTGATGAATGTGGTGCCCTCGCGGGTTCCCGTTGCACTCCGTCTCTGTCACCTTTCCTCCGTTCTTTCTTCTTTGCTGGAGCCATCCAGCCATTTCCAAAAACTCCATAAAAATGCCACAGAGGCGCAATTAATGATCTCCTCTCCCTCAGTGAAGGAATGTTATTTAGGCTTGTGGATTTGTTGAACTGGCTGCCACCAAATCCAGGTATCCTTTATGTTCTCAGTCAGGAAAAAGCAGGGTGCCATTTTTAGAGTCATCCAGCAAGGAGGGTGGGAAAAAAAGCACTTTGTAAATGACCAAATGGTGCGTCTGTTTCTTATGTTTCTGACAAGGCATAAATAGTGCATTTACTATGCATGTGTAGCGTTTTATCCCACGGTTTCATCGTTTGGGATAATTGTACTGAAATGTCAGCTTAATATAAATATTATTTTATGGAGTTATTAGTGTTCTAAATATTCTATTATTTATAGAGACTAGTTGACATGTTGTTGTGCTTCCAACTTAACAGAAGTTGAGTTATGCCACTCCAGAGGACACACTGTTCCTGAAATAACTTTGATAAAGCCAGTATTCATCTCGGTTTGTTTGACATGCTTTTAGCCACTTTCACGACAGAGTACGACTCCCTCCAGATGGCAGTGTTTCCTCATTTTAAAGGTCCAATAGCACTGCTCTCCAAAGGTGACTGAGCACCCATTTTGTAACCTGTAAGTTGAGAATGTGGTGAATTTATGTAGGGTTTAATACATTAGGATCTTTGCCTTGTGTTCTGCAGGATTTCAATACAAAGTTTTTATTACCAAGGCACTAAACGCAGCGACAAGCATTATGTTTGTTTTGCTTTTCGCATCAACTTTGGCTCATTGAGGCCCTACGGTAAGGCATTCTGACGCCAAATGTGTGCAGTTTATTTTTAAAATGTGGATACGTTAACAGAAAAATGTCAGTCAATCAGTTGCAGGGTTGGGTAACTGAGTGCAGTCAGCAGACAGTCTAGCATCTGGCTCACATCTTCTACTATTTGATCCACGCAGGAACAAACAGGGGGTGAAAGATAAATGTCTTTGGGGTAGAGGGGAAAATCTGTTTTCCAGCATCTGTCTGTCAATGTCATATGTCACAGTGATGAGTTTCTAAGAGACAGGCATTTGCTGTTCCCTCATGGTCTGTTTTGTTTTCTTATGCCACTTTGTAAGGGAGACAGAGAGGGGCTTAGAGGATGAGCGTGTCTGAAACAGAAAAGACATAAGAAGCGACATAGATTATCTCAAGGTCACTTATGTTTTCAAGAGGTCTCTTTCTTTCAGTGTAGTCGAGACCTGGATTAATGAAAGTGAGACCTTCTGAATATGAATTCTCTTAATCAGGTGACTGACTATGTGGCGGAGTGACAGGCCATATTCACAATCCGTCACCTAAATGATGCTGCAGGGAAACGAAGGTTTCAACATGCCCATGTCCTTACCTATTATGATGAATAAGAGTGATCCAGAGTCATGTTGATGGAAAATCTGACCATTAAAAGGGCAGCCTGGCTCTGATCCATCAGCGCTCTAATCACCACCAAGACCAGTATTGATTCATTCAGAAAGTGCCCTGATGAGGAAATACAGCGATAATATGAAATGTGCATTTATCAGCGTCTTAATGAATCTTATTTATGGCGAAGGATCTGTGCATAATTCCTTACCATCCAAGTCCATGTTTAAATCAGCGATTCATCTCTGTTATCACGCAGACGTGAGCTGGCCATTGTTCATTCTCCGTGAACAATGGTCAGTCGCTGAGCTGCTATGAAACGTGTGGAAATTCAGCCCAAATGATTAACAAAAAAATGATCACTGAATCAGGAAAATATTTGTGTTATCAAAAAATCTGGTTACATCAACCGCTTTCACGGACAATCCCTAACTCCTGTGTTATCATTGGAACACCTGATTCCAATGAGTCATACTGGGCTCCTCCAGTTTATCCACGGCGCTCCCAGCTTTCCTCCTGCTGCTCTGATCTCAGGGGGGCGGGGGCGCCTGCATCCTGCATTCTGTCAGAGTTGGAATTTGGATAGGACTTTCCCTGTTAGAGCAAAGCTGAGCAGTCTGAAGCCGCCCACCTCCTCCCAGCCCTCATTTGGTTATGACAGTAACATTATGTCGGCTGGAAGAACAGTGGGTTGAAAGACAGGGGGTGCGTTGCTCTGTGACATTTCCTCCTGTGATAATGTTCTGATACTGAGCTGGCCGTTACTGCTTTCTCTGTAGGAAATGGAGAGGAATGAATGGGTCACCTGTGCTGTGCTGAATTCATTACCTACATTATGTTCTGCTGGCCAGTCTTACTTTTTTTTCCTAATAGGACAGAATAAATAGAACTCCTATTTTGGTTTTACACCTGCACTATTTCCAGCATTATTTACACCTGCAGTTAATCATTTTCTATTAACTGTGAAAAGCATTACTGCTTGTTATGTGTAAGGTTTCCCTTGTAATGACGAACCCACTCGAAGTTATTACCTGACTCTGAAGTTCCCCTCAGCTCTATGCATCATTTTTGCCGGCGTCCACCTCATTGAAAAGGATTGCGATTTTGCTGCTTTGTTTCGGTGTCTTTGTTCTTCTTGACCTTGTTTCCAGCTGCAGCAGGCAGTTAATTTCAGGGAGAAAACTCTGGTGCACCCACTGCATACAACCAGGCACCAAAAGGTAGAAAATGTTAGATGACGAGCTGGTTGGCATCTAGCAAGATGAAGATGAAAGTGAATAGTTGAAAAATACAACTCAGTGTCTGTCAGATCTCTATATAGGCAAGTTGTTAAGAGTTTCTTACTCACACACACACACACCAGTGGTGGCCATGCAACACACTAGCCTCCCATTGGCCTGCCTTGCTATTAGTAAACTGGCAGTGGTTGGTGTAATCTTTAGCACCGTCGCCTCACAGCAAAAAGGTTCTGGGTTTGAACTTGCTTGTTGGATGGGATCTCTTGTGTGAACTTTGCGTTTTCTTCCTGTGGCTTCCTCTCTCGGTTCAATGTGCATGGTTGTTTGTCTGTTTGTGTAAGCCTCACCATGAACTGGTGACCCGTCCTGGGTGTATCCCGCTTCTCGTCCAACATCAGCTTCCCTTGACTCTGAATAGGATAAAGCAGGTATAGGTAATAGATGGATGGAGAGTTTTTTTTGTGTTGTGTTGCCCCTAGTGGTGAAAAAAATCAATCAGTGCAGGCTGCAAAGTGATACATCTGGGATTTATCACTTGTCAAAGCTGGGTTGTTTCATGAAATATTAATTTAAAATAATTTAGAAATACTCTTAGTAATTGCAAATCCTGTTTAAGATCAATGGTGTTTTCCATTTACTATGTGGGAATCTGCTTATTTAACAACTGTTCAGACCCTGCGTTTCCCACTAGTGAGCACTGTGTCTACAGTGTCAGCAACTTTTGGAGACGTGACAACATTAAATCTTTTTGACATTGCTCACTTCAAAACAACATTCTCCTCTTTGTATAAAGTTTGTATTTTTGAATGATAATAGGGATGCACGATGTATCGGCGACCACATCGGTATCGGCCGATATTAGTGTTTTGTCTAATAAAGAAGACTATGTGGTCTAATGTGGTCTGGGCTTCTTTTGAATAGTCTCTCACAGTGCTTACTTATACTCGTTTTTCGGCGTGAACAAAAATTGAAAATCGACATCGGTAATATCGGTTATCGGCGATATCAGAAACGTTAATATCGGATATTGTTGTCAGCCAGAAACTTTAATGTCATGCATCACTAAATGATAAATATGTAAAACGGTCAATAGTGATGAAATGATAAATGCTTACGTCTCATCATTTCATCACCAACAGATATCAATAAATAAATACCTGAAAGTAGTTCTGTTGATTGTGGCACGTAGGGGGTTAAATGCATTACAGCTGTGTTTTAGACTTGCCTTATAGCTGTACAGCAGCGTCCTTGCAAAATCAATGTCATCCTTATAGATGCCTCGGCGAGGAATGTGTGTGTACATGAGCGCGCTCTCACGTAAGAAATATAAAGAGACAGTTGTGATGGAGGATTACTTATCCTTGATAAATGAATACCCTCCTCATGCCTTCAGGAGATCAGTGGAACATCAAACAGCAGAGACAGCAGCACAGACGCAGACAAGACAAGAGAACACACAGATACACAGGTGTACTTTGTCATCTACATCTCTAATTGGGGCAGCCCGGCCCCGCTGAAAAGGCGAATCTGCCCATGAGCGCTTTTCTATATTCAACATTTCCTCTCATCTCTTCCTATGTGAAGGTA